ATTAAAGCTTGATTCATAAAGATTCTAACAAAAGGGATTCGAATAGGACTTGGTGGCTACAACTATTAAGGCTCACTTCGTATGAATTCATGGATATAGGTCAAAAAGAAGTGATAAGGACTTGTTCACAACCACCATTAAGGCTAGTTTCATGGAAGCCTGTCCAATTTTGGTCAATAAATCATGCCTTAGAAGCAGATTTTGACTCAAGAGAAAAACTAGAAGAGAGAAAAGATAGGAAATAAATTTTACCTGCAGATCTAGATACTTGTTTGAGAATCCTTGCATCTTATGATCGATACTCCCAAGGTAAAGTCTGCACTTTTATCTATGTTAAAAAATAAGGTTAGTTGAGGGGAAAGTCAAATAGTATGTGCTAAGTTGCTGGCTAGATGAATTTGGTTACTAAGATAGGATATGCCATAATGAACTTCTGTGATTAGGACTTTTTGATGTGGATTGTAATATTGTTGAGGTGATGATTTCGAAGTTTTAAAATCTGTGAGTCCCTGCTGTTTTCAAACATCTTTCAAAGACACTGCCTGTTTGTTTTGCTTGAGGAAAAGCAAAAGGGTAAGTCTGGGGGAGTTGATATACCATGATTTTGACCCACTTTTAGTTATGGTATATTAGTGTTTTTATAACTATTTATGATATTATAGAAGCTTTTAAGCATATTTATAGGTTCAGAAGTATTTTGGAAGAGAGTATGTTTTTGGAGCAGTTTGGAAAGAATTAGAGAAATCACTCGATTTGGATATCGACCAACACATTGAGATCAACACGGAGTGTTAACAATCGATTGCTATTCTCTTAGTAGTAACGATCGATACCAAAGGCGCATAAGACTAATTCGGGACGCAGCCGACTTGAAGCCCAAGATTCACCAAATTACAATTATGCCCCTGGCAAGTTTTACCGAAGTATTTATACTTTGGCAAGGTGTTTTAGGCAAAGATAACTTTCTTGTATTCTTATATTCACAGGAAAAGGGTTTTAGGATTTTTAGAGTTGGAGAGAAGATCCAGAGAGATTTGTGATTGGAACTCCATTATTATGTATCTATCTACTTTATGAAGTTTATCTACTTTGCTTGTGTTATGAATTGCTTAGCTATGTCTGAGTAATTTACTTGTTAGGTTTAGGGTTCAAATAGGCTAGAGGGATTAGCCCCAACTATATGACCGCTTGTTGTGGTATTCATTAATAGAATTGTTCTTAATGCTTATGTCCTAGACTTGCTAACTAGGAACCTGAATCTATGAATTTGGATTACTATAGCAAGAGCTAAACAATATTGACTTCCTGAATCCATTCTATTAAGCTAGGTTTTGTTAGAAACATGGCGAGAGCTTGATCTAGGAATCTATAGTGAGTATAAATTAACTCGCGCATAAAGCTTAACTAGTTGCATCGATCGATATTCCTATTGGATATTGATTGATGTCGTGTGAAGTGAATCGATCGATATTCATATAGAATAATCAATCGACACTACTATTGATCGAATACTCTTGTTTGGGTCAATAGATCTAGTTAATAGACGATTTCAGTAAGCGAAAGACCAATGAATTGGTTATTTAGTGGTTAGCTCTTTAATACCATGTATATAACTAATTAGCACCTATAGGATTATAATCTCCAATACCTGAATGGAAACCCTAAGTATAACGCTTTTCCAATTAAGTTTCAACCCTCAATCAACTTAGTAGAGCAACTGCCTTTCTCAATTAGGATTACTGCTATTTACTGTTTAATCGCATACTTCAAATTTACTTTAATTTCAACCTAGCATTATTACTTGATTAGATTTAATTGGTTCCCTAGCTCCATGTGGATTCAATCCCTAAGTATTACAACTGATCTCTTGTTTGAGAGAGTAAGTCACTCCTGAAGGTAATTTGAGTGATATCAAAACCTAAAGCTGCCTCCTTGGCATAATTCTCAACTGGTACTTCAACCTGCAGGCACCAAATTAACAAGATTGAAAAATTTCATACGTAAAGAAAAAACTATAAATAATATAAATTGAATTACAACGATGTAATTTCGTAGTTGTATAAAATTGGATAGAAGCATAATCGAGATAAATATCTCTTTGTTTAATTTTCTATCATCACATCAAACTGTAATATTTCACGCTCACAAGGTGATTGCCTTTAGCTTTGTTGAGAGGAGTATCATGTACTACATTAATTTCTCAAAATAATAGACACAAATCATTAAAAGCAAACGTTTATCCTCTAACCTTTACATGTAGCACTTTCATCTTCATAGGAATTGGGTATAGAGGAAAGTCTGACATTGTTTTGGGCGGATTAGTTTTAGTTGTCTCTTTGAACCTATTTCTTGGGATCTATGTAGATTTACCGCCAAACCTCATATTCATAGGCTTTGACCCATTCCTCTTGATGATTTGATTTAATGATACACCTTTATATAAGGATCTTAGGTTCTCATCACAATGAACATTATCTCTTGAGATTAGTCCAACTAAGCTAAACTGTCTACTAGCTTTTGTCTTCTTCTTTCAAGATACATTATCATTGTACACAAAATTCAGTGAATGACACTAGTTTTTTTAGAAAAAAAAAATCATATTATGATAATTATCACTAAGTTCATTTGCCTCTTGCCGACACTGTTTGAACATCCCTTCTTTCCCTCTCCACAAGACCGACCCTACTTCTCCACTCCTCTCTAACAGATCTACTGGTTCTGATTTCCACCCTCCACTACATATTTAGGCTTACCAAAAAATTGCAATTGTGCGCTTTAAAATTTACACACTTTTTGGTGTTCATAGATTTGTCTAAGTATAATTTGTTTTAGAACTCAAGTACCACTTTCTAGAACTATTCCTAATACTTTCTAAGTTATAACGAAGGTCTACTAAATATACTTCAATGAACAATGAAAATGATTTGTGACTTAACCATTTAAGATAGACAAATAGAAAATCAGTTATATCATTACACTAATGTTTATAACCATCAAATATAATTTCAGATTAATACTTACCCCGCGTAAAGCACGAGTGTTCACCAAACATTATAATATTTATAATTTTTTAAAATCTGCAGTATTTTGAAAATCTACATATTTTGAAAATCTACATATTTTGAAAACTTATCTATTTTTATTAAAAAACATTTCAAGAATATAATACTTATTTTATAAACAGTGTCATTATCATCTTCTTTATAAATTATATAATATTATTTTTCAAAAGTTATTACATTATTTCAAGATTAATTGTAAAATAATTAATTTATTATTGATATTTATGTTTGGACCTGATTTTATGATATTTCAATAATCTTTATATTATCACATCAAAAATGAAATAGTAAATATTTATTTTTCTCTTATGGATAATTAAATTATTAAACCCATATTTAAGTTGATTACTCAATTTAAGTACTAGCGTAATGAAGTTCTTAACATAGTGAAAGTATTTAAAAATTGATAAATATAAATATTAGAGTTTATTATCTTAACTAAAGTTAACTAAACTTAACTAAAATTTATTAAATTATATTTTCATAAATAAATAAAATAGTATAAAATTAGTATTGAAAAAATTATTTTTAAAAAATTAATTAACATAAAATAAGATAAGAAAATTAAACTAAAAGAAAACTACAAATCAATAATTGATACTTTTCAAAAAATAATAAACTTAAAATTAAATGTAATGAAGATATATTTTTATTTTAGATGAAGTATATTTTAAACGTTATTATTTCTCCAATTGATGTAGGAGACCATCTAATAATCACTAAATTTTTTCCAAAAGTTTAATTTTACCATACACCAGTATCAACCTTTATTATTATCCAAACTGAGAATTATAAAAAACTGACCAAAAAACACAGATGTCATAAATAAAATGATTTTAAAAAAGAAACTATCAATTTTTGAAAGGAATGTCATAAGTATACTCTCTTTGTTTCATTTAGTTGTTGTTTAAGGTTTTGCACATATATTTTTAAAATACATATTTTTATGTTATCATGCTTACGTAAGAAGAACATTAAACAAAACTCTTTCAACCACTAAGAAAAATGTAGTATTTTATAATTGATCAGAAATTTCAAATGATATTAAATTTTATCTAAAATAGTGAAAAGATCACTTATTATTAAACAATATAAAATTCTTTAAACATTGTTTAAAGTGATGCGGATGGAGTACATCTCTTTCACGCACCACCATCAGACTTGTCGTCATTGTTATTACTTTTTTTTGTTAAACTTAAAGCCAATCAGTTTAAGGAAAGCAAACACAATCACAATGACACTGTGACACACACTACCATAACAAAGATTAAAAACCATAGTTCCATTGTAAAAGTAACTACAAGAGTTTCTGGTTTTGGATGGTGAATAATAAAAATTAAAAAATGAAATAATACAGTAGTTATATAAAATTGGGAAAATTATTTTTTTAGACCAAAAAAACATAAACATGGTCCTAATAGGATAAATCTAATTTAAAATTATCCGTTAGGTTAATATTTATCAAAATCCCAAGTTTATCCTTCAAAAGTATTAATAGAAACAATTATAATATATTAAGATATGACAAAAATAATAATAAATGTCAAATGAAGCCACTTATGTGTTTTAAATTTTTTTGTATTATCCAACGAAACAAAACCCTCCTCCAGAGATTCTGCCGGTTTTACCACCGGCTTCGTAGGCGAAAGTGACCACAAGTCACGATGCGTGTACCAAGCAGCTCGATCACTACATTCTAGTGATGTGAAAGATCTGCTATCTCTTGGGGTCTGTCATCTTTTATATTCCTCCATTAGTTCTTAAGGTTTCTCTTTCTCACCTCTTCACTGCTCCGCCTCTAATCTCTTTCTGAATTAGATTAATTAATTTGTTGTTCTCTGATCTGTTTGGTGTGCAAGAGATGTATTTTCCAATTGGTATCCGTCGAGGCTTTTGATTCCGATTAGTCATATCAATCTCGATGTAAACTCTACGGAGATGGCTAGAATCGGCGATGAGAATACTAAAGGCCAGTCTACTAATGGGCCTGCGGTAGGAGCCCAAATGAGTGACAAAAGACAGAACTTGAAGCCCACGGAACAGAGTTTGTCCTGTTCTGCTGCAGTGTTGAAGTCACAGTTTTGGCGTGAAGGTTGTACCTCAAGGCCAGCTCACAATTTCGTTACAACGAATAGATTCGATTGCCTGGCCAGCTGTGCAGTCATATGCTGATGTTTGACTGGAAGGATAAGATCTAGGGTTGTATATATTCACGTGTAGTGTCTCATTTGGAAGCAAGTTGAAAACATTTGAAATAAAGTAAAAGTTGTTCTTCTTCAATACATTTACTGTTGTGTTCTTTATGGTATCAGAGCCATGGAAGAGCCTTCAGAAACCTTGTCTACACCATCTCTGAGTATTACTCAGTGTGTTACTCTGAAGCTCAAGTCCTCGAACTATCTTCTCTAGAAGACGCAGTTCGAGTCTTTCCTTTCCAGTCAGTCACTACTAGGCTTTCTCAATGGATCTACAGTGCGACCACCACCAACTGTCACTACAAGAAACGGAGATGTTGTCACGGAAGAAGCAAATCCAGAGTTTGCTCGTTGGATGCGCAAAGATCAGTTGGTGATGGCATGGCTGTTTGGCTCGTTGTCTGAGGAGGCGCTTCGCTCTCTCTACGGTATGCACTCAGCTCAGGAGGTATGGATGAGTTTGGGTCAGAAATACAACCGTGTGTCAGCTACACGCAAGCTCGATCTTCAAAGAAAACTTCAAGGTATGTCTAAAGGTCAGAAGTCAATGACAGAGTATCTAGGAGATTTCAAAGGAGTTTGTGATCAGTTAGACTCTATAGGTTGTCCTGTTAGTGAACAAGAAATGATTTATGGAGCTCTGAGTGGTTTGGGGAAAGAGTATGAGTCCATAAGTACGGTTATTGAGCTCTCAATGGACTCTACTCAGCAGATGAGTTTTGAAGATGTGGTTTTTAAACTCGTTGCTTTTGATGCTAAGTTACAAGTCTACACTCAGACGACAGAAGCTACTACTCACTTGGCTTTTCATACTGGTCGTGGTTTGTATCCAAGAGGCCGAGGAAGAGGAGGTTACAGAGGCAGAGGTAACTATTCCACAAGAGGGAGAGGTTTTCAACAGCAGTTTGCAGGAGGTTCTGGTTCCAACAACAATACAAGGCCAGTCTGCCAGATCTGTGGAAGGTTTGGTCATATTGCCAACAAGTGTTACAACAGGTTTGACCAGAACTATCAGTCTCCGGACTCTGTGCACACTGCACTCTCCACCATGAAGCTCTCAGATCAGGAACAGACAACGGGTCAGGACTGGTATCCCGATTCTGCAGCCTCTGCTCACATCACCAACAATGCAGCTCAGCTTCAGTCATCCGAGGCATATCTAGGTAATGATCAAGTGATAGTTGGTAACGGTGATTATTTACCTATCACTCATGTTGGATCTCTTTGTCTGCAAACATCTCAAGGTACTTTGCCTTTAAAAGATGTTCTGATATAACCTGGAATCACAAAGTCTCTTTTGTCTGTATCAAAGTTAACTGCTGATTATCCTTGTGAGTTTACATTCGATGCTGATTCTGTATGTGTTAAGGACAAAGCCACAAGGAAGGTGATAACACAAGGAAGCAGGCATAAAGACCTGTATGTGCTGAAGGACACACGATTTCAAGCTTTCTACTCCACTAGGCAGCAAGCTACAGGTGATGTTGTATGGCATAAACGGCTGGGTCATACACACAAGGATGTTCTTCAGCAACAATCTCGAAGTTCAGCCATTGTAATGAATAAAACAAGCTCCAGTCTGTGCTGTGATGCTTGCTCTTTAGGAAAAAGTTCCAGACTTCCATTTTTAGATTCATATTCTGTTTCACATCATCCTTTGCAGAGGATTCATTGTGACTTGTGGGGACCTAGTCCTGTTGTGTCCTCACAAGGGTTCAAATATTATGTGATCTTTGTAGACAATTATTCAAGATTCACGTGGTTTTATCCCTTGAAGCTCAAGTCTGATTTCTTCTCTGTGTTTGTTCGCTTTCAAAATCTTGTCGAAAATCAGTACAAACACAAGATTGGTCAGTTTCAGTGTGATGGAGGCGGTGAGTTTGTCAGTCAAAAGTTTCTTACTCACCTTGCAGCTCATGGGATCAAGCAGTTAATCTCATGCCCACACACACCTCAGCAGAATGGTCTTGCTGAGAGAAAACATCGCCACATAACAGAGATAGGAACTACATTGATGTTTGAAAGCAGAGAGCCACAGAAGTTATGGGTTGAGGCTTTCTTCACGGCTACGTTTCTTGGAAACCTGGTTCCTTCGTCTGTTTTGGAAGATCACAAGAGTCCGTATGAGATATTGAATGAGAAATCTCCCGTTTATACATCACTGCGTGTGTTTGGTTGTAAGTGCTATCCATACCTAAGGCCATACATGCAGAACAAACTGGACCCAAAGTCTCTAGTTTGTGTCTTTTTGGGGTACAATGAGAAGTACAAGGGGTATCGATGTTTGTATCCACCAACAGGAACAGTGTATATCTCAAGACATGTACTCTTCGATGAAAGTAAGTATCCCTTTGCAGACATCTACAGCTCTTTTCATCCCCCAACTGACTCCACCTTGTTGAAGTCTTGGCGTTTGGTCAATCTTAAGTCTGTTATGCAGACAGATAACTCTACTGTTACGTCATTAGTCCCTGAAGATCTCCCTGCTCGGTTCATTGTGACAAACACACCTACACCAGCTCACAATGTTCAGGGTTCTGAGTCATCTACCTCAAACGACGTCAATGAGTATCAAGAAAATGATGAGACTGATTCTGGACAATCAAGTTCTAATGATGAAGCTGACGTTCAACCTGTTCCTGTTTCTCATCCTATGATGACTAGAGCACGTGCTGGCATTGTCAAACCAAACCCAAGATATGCTTTAGTCACAGTCAAGACTGATCATCCAGAACCACGGAGTGTTAAGGCAGCTCTCAAGGATCCAGGTTGGACAGCAGCAATGGCAGAAGAAGTTAACAACATGATAGAGACTGCTACGTTTGAGTTGGTTCCATCTGAAGACGGACAGAATCCGTTGAACTGTGGTTGGATTTACAAAAGGAAACTCAATTCTCAAGGTGAGCTTCTTAAACTTCGAGCTCGACTAGTGGCCAGAGGTAATGAACAAGAAGAAGGACTTGATTTCTTGGAAACGTTCAGTTCAGTGGTTCGTACGGCTACAATTCGAACCATCCTACATGTTGTAGTTACTAAGAAATGGCAAATTAAGCAGTTGGATGTGCAAAACGCTTTTCTGCACGGAGATCTCAAAGAGACTGTGTTTATGAGACAACCGCCTGGCTTTGAAGATGCAGCTAAACCTGATCATGTGTGGAAATTGAAGAAGGCAGTGTATGGTTTAAAACAGGCACAACGTGCGTGGTTTGACAAGTTTAGCAATTTTCTTCTTCAGTTTGGGTTTCAGTGCAGCTTTCTGGATCCTTCACTGTTTATCTATCATCAAGGTACTAATGTGATTTATCTTCTGTTGTACGTTGATGATATGATTCTGACTGGCAACAATGACACTTTGTTGGCTACGTTGTTGGAGCAGCTGTCGTCTGTTTTCAGAATGAAGGATATGGGTTTGCTACATTATTTTCTTGGTATTCAAGTACATCAGTGTGAAGGCGGCTTGTTTCTGAATCAGTCTAAATATGCTCAAGATTTGTTAGTTAATGCAGGCATGCGAGATTGTGCACCAATGCCAACGCCACTACCTATGAAGCTTGACAATCTCTCTGGTCATGATGAATTCTTTGCTGATCCATCCTACTTCAGGAGTCTTGCTGGCAAACTGCAGTATCTCACATTGACAAGGCCAGACCTTCAGTTCTCTGTTAATTATATCTGTCAGAAGATGCATCAACCTAGTGTCTCTGATTTTGGGTTGTTGAAGTGCATCCTTCGGTATGTTAAGGGTACTTATGATTTGGGAATAAGTATCACTGCAAACATAACCTCTACTTTACTGTGTTACAGTGACTCCGACTGGGCAGGATGCAAGCAAACAAGACGATCCACATGCGGATTTTGCACAATGCTTGGTTCTAATGTGATCTCTTGGTCAGCTAAGAGGCATGACACGGTTTCCAAGTCATCAACAGAAGCAGAGTACAGGACAATGTCGGCTGCTGCATCTGAGATTGTTTGGTTGCAGAATCTTCTCAAGATCATGGGGCTTCATCAGAGGGTCACTCCCCTTTTATTGTGTGATAACCTGCATGCAGTATGCTTGACGGCTAATCCGATGTTTCACAAACGAACTAAGCACTTCGACATAGATTATCACTATGTCCGAGAAAGAGTTGCTCTGAAATCTCTCGAGGTCAAGCATATTCCTGCGACACTGCAAGTTGCAGATATATTCACCAAACCTTTGGCGCAACAAGCATTCTTCAAATGGCGAAGCAAACTTGGAGTATCCGTGCCTCCTACGCCAAGTTTGAGGGGGAGTAAAGGCCAGTCTACTAATGGGCCTGCGGTAGGAGCCCAAATGAGTGACAAAAGACAGAACTTGAAGCCCACAGAACAGAGTTTGTCCTGTTCTGCTGCAGTGTTGAAGTCACAGTTTTGGCGTGAAGGTTGTACCTCAAGGCCAGCTCACAATTTCGTTACAACGAATAGATTCGATTGCCTGGCCAGCTGTGCAGTCATATGCTGATGTTTGACTGGAAGGATAAGATCTAGGCGTTGTATATTCACGTGTAATGTCTCATTTGGAAGCAAGTTGAAAACATTTGAAATAAAGTAAAAGTTGTTTTTCTTCAATACGTTTACTGTTGTGTTCTTTAAATACTCCTTCCCTAGAGTCAAGCTGCTCCAAAGTCTTCATTGTCTGTTAGGTATATTGAAGTTCGTTTTTTCCGATGCCAGATCGGATTGTAGTAGTGACTACGCTGCAAAGGTAGCAGACTTGGTGAAGCAGGAAGGTCATGAATTCGACAGCTTTGTGTTAGAAGTCTCTGTCCCATCAACGATAATGGAGAGTGAGCAGAGCGTGCAGTCTTGTAAAGCTTTATTTGCATTTATGTTTGGCTTTTGGTTTATCAGCGTATTGGGTCTTAGAAAGTATATCTCTTTTGCAATTTCTCAGTTTTTTGTATGTGATCAATGTGTTAATGTTTCTACCTTTGTAGGTTATACCTTAAAGGAAAGTATAACGGTGAATGTTGGGTGCAGAGTGAAAAGATTTCTGTAAAGGATGCCTTGAATCTAGTCCTGGATCCACTTAAAGCATCGTTCGTGAGTCTGTGTTCTGTTTTGTACAATTGTCAACTTCCTTAGGTTTTCACCTATGTTTCTATTGCTTGGTGTTTTATAGATAATTATATTATAAACTGTCAAATATGTGCAAGGTAACAAAATCTTAGAGATTGAAGTCTTTGCATGTCATCCTTGTTTTGAGTTTTGGCAGGGATGTTTATTAAACAGAACACTGCACCAAGATGTTTACTAAGCCCAACACGAGTCGCTGAAGTTTGCTTGCTTTTCTGTGAAATCATCTTTCATTAGAGGCAAACGTAGTCAAATGTTTTACTTACTTTTGAAACTGACTCGAATGTTTTTTGGTCCATAGACCCAAAAATTGACCTAAAAGGGTTTTGTCTCTTAATGCGATCAGTGTGCATTGTTTATATACTTTCATTCCTTTATAGGACCCATTGTTGTGATTCTCGTTCTATTAGTTTAAAGCTATCTTAATAAGGTTAATAGAAAGAAATTTGGTTTTCTCTGTATTGGTTATACCTTTTGTAAAACTTCTCAGTCTTGACGCTATATAATTCTAACTAATCTCTGCTTTGCTCACTTCATTCAAGAAAACATACAGGATGAAGAGTCATTACACAAACACCATGTGTGTTGCTCTTCTCTTGTTTTGTCTCCTCACCACATCCGCCTTTGCAAGATCTTTGAAACGCAGGTCACTAGTGACGTCAACACAACTGAGTAGCATATGCAATATTTTTGGCTTTTATCACATTCAACGTTTATATTCTTTTTTCCCGTTACTTAATTATTACTAGAACTTAACCCGCACCCCCGTGCGGGTGTTTGATCTAACTTTTGTTCAACGTAAACTCATAAATCGTTAGTTTTATTTAAAAAAATATTTTTATATGTAAATTTGCATACATAATAGAATATATTATTTATAATATAGATATTTAATAATTGTTATTTTATTTTTAAATAATATTATATTAAAAATTCATAATTTGATGCAATTTTATGTAATTGTACTATTCATATATTGACATGTAGTTTTTGTTAATTTATTTTAAAATGAAACAACATACTAAAAAGATAATTTTTGCATTAGTTTTCTATGAATTATCATTAATTTTATGATATTTTTTTTCTTGAAATTTGATCTCTCAAGATTTTATATTTGAATAAGTTAAATAAGACAATACTATATTTAAAAAATATTCCATTTAATATATATTATATATTTCAGTTGGTGTTTTTATTTTCACCACAAAAAAAGAAAAATCCTTGTAATTAATTAATTTTAATTGATTTTAAATGCAATGACATAATCTGTAAATAAAAAGAAATACAAAAGGAAAGTATTTAATTTATTGTAAATGTAATGGTTAAATGTGCAAATAAAAAAAATACTTAATCTACTATCCATGTTTCCAAACAGTGTTTCATTTATTCTGATATTCTTATTTCCAAACAGTACCAAAAGATACTTCAGTTTTAATAATATAGATGTTTTCGAGGATATATAGCTCCATGTTTGGTTAGCGGTCAGTCGAGTTCGAAGGCTAAAGAGGTTTTTTTTATAATTCTTACCCTTTTTGGTTAAGAAATTCGTGGATTTCAGTTATAGAAATACAAAAAAATATGAAAATATTCTCATAAATGCACTTCCTATATTTTAGAAGATTTGTTAGATTATCCGTAGAACTTGCTATCTACTATGTGTATAACGAAGACAATCAGTTTGAAATCTGTTTCTACTTATATTAGAACTATGAGTTATTTGTAGATTTCATATTCTACAAAATTTAGATTGGAAGGTTTGATGTAGAATATAGATTCTAAATATATTTAGATAACAATGATTTCGGTAGATGTCATGTTCTAATATATGTAGATTGTTTAACAAATGTGGATTTCAGTTTCCACTAAGTCATTTTTTGTAGAACATATAATCTACGGTCTGTAGAACTGAATCTTAAATTTTTATTTAACAACTTTTAGAACTCTTAAAAAACTATCATTACATTGATTTAAGTGTTTGTTTAATTGTTATTATTTTTTATAATCTTTAGCTTATAAAACTATTTATTATGATTTATCTTTATAAATAAAAAGGGCATTAAAGGAAAATATGGTACAAAAATTGATTCATCCTATTAGGACAATGTATGTGTTTTTAGTCTAAAAAAATAATTTTCCCTATAAAATTTGACTCAAGCAGAATCGAGATAAAAATCTCTTTGTTTAATGTTTTAAACGTCCGTAATGTGCTGATTTGAATTTACTTTATAATATCAAGATATAAAATAAATATCAAGATATAAATGTCTCGAATATTTTTTCTACTGACATCTCCTTTTTCTCTTATGATTCTGTATCATTTTGTAATGTCTCGAATATTTTTTCATCTCAGTGTTATAAAAAAAATATCAAGATATAAATGCCTATATCTTATGTCTCATAGCACTTGAGAACCAAAGACTGTAAAATCTATATATATGCTATATGTTTGACAGAAAAAAAAATGATATTGGATGTGTATTTTCATATTGAGATGAACATGGTTTTTACAGCCCCATAAAACAACGTGTGCATCTAATAGCACAAAATTTATATTATATTTTGATTCTCTCATAATGGCAAGATAAGAGGTGAATTGATTTTTATATGTTACAAATTAAACTCAAAATCAAATTGTCAATATTGAAAGATTCAGTCAAAGTCATAGTTTAATGAGAAATAATCTTGGGAAAAGATATCTACTGATTTTACAGGGATAGGTTAAGCGCGGGATGTGTATTTTAAATAATTTTGGATTAGTATTATTTAGGTAAAACATGTATTTTGAACTTAGTAGATTCCATGAAAAAAGTGGATTTCATTTTCTACTTCGTAGAATGTCAATTCTACTTTATGTTAAACATAATCTGAAATTATGATTTAGGCATTTTTAGAACTTGAAAAAAAAATACCACTAAAGTGATATATGTATTTCACCAGTAGTCACTATTTTTCCAATTGTTTTTGTTTGTAAAACTATTTCTTCCTTCTCTCATAGAATTAGGTTCTCTATTGTGTTCCTTTTGGCCATGAACATGTCTGGTTAATCATAGCAGACTCTCCTCTTACTGTGTTCTGGTCCAGTGAACTTAGAGAATATAGCATTTCCTTTTTTCTCCTAAAAACTGCCATATTTCATGTTCACAAGGTGATTGCTTTTAGTTTTGTTTAGAGAAGTATCATGTACTACTCCATTTATTTCTCAAAATAATAGACAAAAATCATTAAAAGCAAATGATTATCCTCTAACCCTTACATGTAACACTTTCATTTTCATAGGGATTGAGTATAGAGCGAAGTCTCACATTGTTTTGGGCGGATTTAGTTTTAGTTGTCTCTTTGAACCTATTTATTGGAATCTATGTAGATTGACCGCTAACCTCATCTTAATTCATGGGCTTTAACCCATTCCTCTTGATGATTTGATTTCATGATACACCTTTAATATAAGGATCTTAGGTTCTCATCACAATGAACATTATCTCTTGAGATTAGTCCAACTAAGATAAATTTTCTAATGGTTTTTGTCTTCTTCTTTCAAGATACATTATCATTGTACATAAAATTCAATGAATTACACTAGTGTTTTAAGAAAAATCATATTATGATAATTATCACTAAGTGCATGTGCTTCTTGCTGACACTGTTTAAACATACCTTCTTTCCCCCTCCACAAGATCGACCCTACTTCTCCACTCCTCTCTAACAGATCTACTGGTTCTGATCTCCACCCTGCACTATCTATTTAGGCTTACCAAAAAATTGCAATTGTGCGCTTTGAAATTTATACATTGTTTGGTGTTCATGGATTTTTCTAAGTATAAATTTGTTTTAGAACTCGAGTACCACTTTCTAGAACTTTTTCTAATACTTTCTAAGTTATAACGAAGGTCTACTAAATATACTTCAGTGAACAATGAAAATGATTTGTGACTTAACCATTTAAGATATAAAAATAGAAAATCAGTTATATCATTACACTAATGTTTATAATTATTAAATTTAATTGCAGATTAATACTTACCTCGCGCAAAGCACGGTTGTTCACCAAACATTATAATATGTATAATGTTTTAAAATCTGCAGTATTTTGAAAATCTACATATTTCGAAAACTTATCTATTTTTACAAAAACATATTTCATGAATATAATATTTCTTTTATAAATTGTTGCATTATCATCTTCTTTAGAAATTACATAAAACTATTTTTCAAAAGTTATTACATGATTTCAAGATTAATTGTAAAATAATTAATTTATTATTGATATTTATGTTGGGACAATTGCACAATTACCATTTTTCTGATAGCACAATTCAAATTTACCACAATTCAAGGGACATTTTCATAAATACACAATTCATTCATGACAAGAAGACAATACTACCCTTCCATATCTTCCCTTCTATTTTCTTTCTCTCGGCTAGATCCGCCGTCTCTCTCTCACGAAACTACGACGAAAGAGATTGCAGAGAATCAATGCCGGTGACGCGTAAATCAACGCCGGTGACGTGTTCATCAACGCCGGGTAACGTGTTCATCAACGCCGGAGAATAATGTCGGCTCTTCAATCCAATTCGCAATTTGTAAGTTGCTAGATTAGATCTTCTTCGAATCTGTATTTTCCTTATTTGATTTAAGATGCTAGATTATACAAATTCAAAAATTTCAATTTTTGTATCTGTTTGTTCGATCTAAGGGAAAAAGGTGAGATTTTGCAAATTTATAACCCTTTCTAAAATACGAGCTTCATGTGGTTTTGAGATCCATCTAATCGATTAGTGTTTGAATCTATAATCGTTGAATAACTTATCTGTAGACCATGTTTAAAAGTCACATCATCGTTTTATTGAATTTACAGCCCTTTCTAAATACGAGATTCATGTTGAATTTTTTTAGCAGTTAGATAGAAATGAATTTTTCCCATCCATGCGTTTGCCTGAGAGAGTTTATGAAGCTAGAATAGAACC